TAACAAATTGCTGGTGGACTGTGGCGTATTTTGGCGAGTATTTCACCAACTCTTGCAGCCTACTAACTCGCGTCCCTCCGTCCTCCACTAACTCTCCTCCCTCCACCACTAACTCTCCTTCCCTAACTAACCTCCCCTCCTCCCCCACTAACTCTCCTCCCTCCTCCAGCCAGTCCCCCACTAACTCTCCTTCCTCCCTCAGGCAAGGTTGTGCCCTACGTGGAGTTCACTGTGGCTCATGCGTCCATGTTAACCATCCTGGCCATCTCCGTGGAGCGTTACCGGGCCATCTGTCACCCCCTGACGGCCGCCCACCCTGCAGTCGGGCCCGTGCTGCCGTCGCCTGCTTCCTCGTGTGGGTCCTCGCTACCTCCGTCACCAGGTCAGTGTTGTGTGTGTGTGTGTTTACGACCTGTGTTTACGTGCTGTGTGTTTACGTGCTGTGTATGTTTATGTGTTGTGTGTGAGTATGTTTACATGTGTATGTGTGTGTGTATGAATCCTCTGGCTAACAAAAAACACCTTTATATTAATAAATTTACATAAGATCAAATCTGCTGCAATATATGTACACAGTATATAATATAGGCTGAATATATACACACTACAGTATATTAGAATTACGACTGTAGCTTCTTCGTGGATCTCCTCGGTAGGGGGTAACAATACTCTTTAGTGCTGGGAGTATACGTGTTATTGTGTTTCAGGGCTGCCACTCTTATTGCTGTTGGTACTCCTGGCTGATGACATGATGCTCTCTTGGTTTGATGTTATTACAAGGTTCTCTCTCTCTCTCTCTCTCTCTCTCTCTCTCTCTCTCTCTCTCTCTCTACGTGATAATGTGTACACGGGGATCTCTCTCTAACATCCCTCAGCCATAGAAGATTCAATAAACCTCCCCTTTCCCGCCAGTAGTGAATGGATAAGTGAAGTAATAAATGAATGAATCAATCAATCAGTGAGTAATTGAATCCGTGAATGAATAAATGAATGAATCTGTGAATAAATGAATGAATTAATCGGCCAGTGAATCCGTGAATGAGTGAATAAGTGAATAAATCCGTGGATAAATGAATTAATTAATCGGCCAGTGAATCCGTGAATGAATGAATGTATGAATGAAAAGGTTAATTACTCCGCAAAACTTCAGGAAGACCTAAAAAAAATTTCGAATGGTCTGAAAAATGGCAGATGGAATTTAATATGGACAAATGTAAAGTACTTAGTCTTTGAGATGTAAACAGAGAAACCAGATACCAGATGGACAACGATGTTTTTGAGGAATCCGACTGTGAGAAAGATTTAGGAATAATGATAAGTATGAATCTTAAACCAAGTAAACAATGTGTATTTGCTCGAAACAAGGCTAATAAAGTACTTGAGTTCATACAGAGGAGTGTTAGTTACAAGACTAGCGAGGTCATCCTAAAACTATATCTTGTGCTTGTGAGACCACACCTGGATTACGCAGTTCAGTTCTGGTCACCGTATTACAGAATGGATATAGAATCCCCAGAAAGAATTCAGAGGAGAATGACAAGTCTAATCCCGGGTATTAGGAACCTTGAGTACAGAGACAGGTTAAAGCATCTTAATCTGCACTCCCTCGAGAGACGTAGAGTGAGGGGCGATATGATCGAGGTGTATAAATGGAGCGAACTCGTAACAATGATTTTAAATTAGAAAAAAAATGGATTTAGGCACAAGATAGGTAAACATTGGTTTAGAAATAGAGTAGTGGATGAGTGGAGCAAGTTACCAAGCATCATTAACTCGAATACGCTGGATAGCTTCAAACATAGGTTGGATGGATATATGAGCAATAGGGGCTGGGTGTAAATGGGACTGCCCAGTATGGACCAATATGCCCGCTGCAGTTCCCTCCATTCTCATGTTCTTATGTCTTGTTTCCTGCAGCCCGGTGATCGCCCTGACGGAGTACACCCATGTACGATACATCGATCAGTCGCTGGTGCCCGTCTGTTACACCCGTGTTGACATACTGTGGGCCAAGGTCAGTCACACCCTTCCTGCCGCCTACCTCTTCCTTATTGTCTCTTATACCTTCTACTTCCTCCCTGCTGTCTCCATCCTCCTCTTTCCTACCTCTTACCACTATTCCTACTCCTTACAGTATCCTTAGACCTCCCTTTCCCTGCTATATCCTGCTTCCTACCTCCTCCCTATTATCTCCTATCTATTGCCTCTTGTCTCCTGCCCGCTGCCTTCTACTTCCTGCCTGCTGTCTCCTACCTCTACTTCCTGCCTGCTGTCTCCTACCTCCTCCCTATTATCTCCTACCCCCTACTCATTGTCTCCTACCTCCTAGCCAGAAAGATAAAATACGAATCAGGACTTCAGGTTACAAATCAGCCTCCATGTTTAGGAAAATCACTCAATGACTTAACAGTAAATAAAGACTAATTAGAAAAGTAAGTTTAGAAGTACCTTATCTACAGGTGTTTTTATATCAGTAAACACAAATACCAACAGGTGTTTTTGTATCAGTCTTCTCACAGTATCTACCTACAGGTGTTTTATCTCTCCCTTTAACTATACGAGATTTAAGAACAGGTGTGTGGATCCTCGGCAGGTGTTCGTGGTGTCATCGATGGTGGTGCTATTCTTCCTGCCTCTGTTGGTGTTGGTGGTGCTGTACTGGAGGATCGCCAGACAGCTGTTGCTCGAGGACAAACAGCTGTGTAAGGACAAGCCCAATCCCAACCTCCAGGCTCGTAAACAGGTGTGTGTGTGGGTCTATTCTCTCTACTTCACACACACACACACACACACACACACACACACACACACACACACACACACACACACACACACACACACACAGAGGCGCCTCCTTGCTACACTATCACTCAGTAAAAAGCAACATTGGTAATAACCCGAGCGAGCCGCAGTAATCAAGAAGATGGAGAGTAATACCTCACCACACCATTCTCTCCTTTTCTCCCTTCCTTCCTCCGTCTCTCCATCTGTCCCTCCTTCCCTCCTTCCTTCCTCCCTCCTTCCCTCCCCCCTTGCTCCTTCCCTCCCTCCCTCCCTCCCTCCCTCCCTCCTCCTAACTCCTCCCCCTCCTCCGTCTCTGTCCCCCCTCCTTCTTCCCTCCCCTCCTAACTCCCTCTATGCCTTCCCTCCCCTTCTCCGTCTCCCCTTCCTCGCTCCCCTTCTCCCCTTCTCTCCTCTTCTCTCTCCATCCCTCACCTCCTTCTCCACTGGAAACCACACACAAGAGTAGGAGAGACGTCGAGTTTTGCCGTGTCACCGAGACTCTGCCACGGATATTACTTGAAGACCTAACCGACACGGAAGCACCAAGGGCCCTCCCTACTTACACACACACACACACACACACACACACACACGCATTGGCTTTTCAGTTCAACTCTTGTCTATTAAAGTCGGAAGTGTTAGGTGGTATTGAGGATTCAGTTTTCTTTAATCCACCTACAGGTAACACTAAATCCACCTACAGGTAACACTTAATCCACCTACAGGTAACACTTAATCCACATACAGTAACACTAAATCCACCTACAGGTAACACTTAATCCACATACAGATAACACTTAATCCACCTACAGGTAACACTTAATCCACCTACAGGTAACACTTAATCCACCTTCAGGTAACACTTAATCCACATACAGGTAACACTTAATCCACCTACAGGTAACACTTAATCCACCTACAGGTAACACTTAATCCACATACAGATAACACTTAATCCACCTACAGGTAACACTTAATCCACCTACAGGTAACACTTAATCCACCTTCAGGTAACACTTAATCCACATACAGGGTAACAATTTAATCCACCTACAGGTAACACTTTAATCCACCCAGGTAACACTTAATCCACATACAGATAACACTTAATCCACCTACAGTAAACACTCTAATCCACCCTACAGGTAACACTTAATCCACCTTCAGGTAACACTTAATCCACCTACAGGTAACACTTAATCCACATACAGGTAACACTTTCTTAATCCACCTACAGGTAACACTTAATCCACCTACAGGTAACACTTAATCCACATACAGATAACACTTAATCCACCTACAGGTAACACTTAATCCACCTACAGGTAACACTTAATCCACCTTCAGGTAACACTTAATCCACATACAGGTAACACTTAATCCACCTACAGGTAACACTTAATCCACCTACAGGTAACACTTAATCCACATACAGATAACACTTAATCCACCTACAGGTAACACTTAATCCACCTACAGGTAACACTTAATCCACCTTCAGGTAACACTTAATCCACCTACAGGTAACACTTAATCCACATACAGATAACACTTAATCCACCTACCGGTAACACTTAATCCACCTACAGGTAACACTTAATCCACATACAGGTAACACTTAATCCACCTACAGGTAACACTTAATCCACCTACAGGTAACACTTAATCCACCTACAGGTAACACTAAATCCACCTACAGGTAACACTTAATCCACCTACAGGTAACACTTAATCCACCTACAGGTAACACTTAATCCACATAGTAACACTAATCCACCTACAGGTAACACTTAATCCACCTACAGGTAACACTTAATCCACATACAGGTAACACTTAATCCACCTACAGGTAACACTTAATCCACCTTACAGGTAACACTTAATCCACCTACAGGTAACACTAAATCCACCTACAGGTAACACTAATCCACCTACAGGTAACACTTAATCCACCTACAGGTAACACTTAATCCACATACAGGTAACACTTAATCCACCTTCAGGTAACACTTAATCCACATATAACACTTAATCCACATACAGATAACACTTAATCCACCTACAGGTAACACTTAATCCACCTACAGGTAACACTTAATCCACCTTCAGGTAACACTTAATCCACATACAGGTAACACTTAATCCACCTACAGGTAACACTTAATCCACCTACAGGTAACACTTAATCCACCTACAGGGAACACTTAATCCACATACAGTAACACTAAATCCACCTACAGGTAACACTTAATCCACCTACAGGTAACACTTAATCCACCTATAGGTAACACTTAATCCACCTACAGGTAACACTTAATCCACCTACAGATATGGTAATACTGACTTGACAGGTGTGTATGGTCTGCCTTGCCCAGTTATGGTTGTCTTAACTCAACTAAATATTTGTACTCACATATTTATTTATATATCTGTGTCTCCCCCCTCCCCCCCACCTCTCTCTCTCTCTCTCTCTCTCTCTCTTTCTCTCTCTCTCTCTCTCTCTTTCTTTCTCCCTACCTCCCTCTCTCCCTGTGTACTGTACATACCTTTCTCTCGTCCTTTCTTTCTCCTGTCTCCCGTCCTCTCTCTCTCTCCCGTCCCCCCCTCCCTCCTTGCACCATCTGTAAGGTATATATGTGTGTATGACAGGTGGTGGTGATGCTGGGAACGGTGGTGGTGGTGTTCTTCGTGTGTCTGTTGCCTCACCGAGTCTTCAGTCTCTGGTTCATCTTCACTACCAAGGAGTCAGAACAGTCCCTCGGTCAGGTCAGTGGTGTAACTCCCCCAGCGTCCTGTCCTTTGAGTACACCCTTAGTTTATTGTCATTTTAAGATGTATCTGTGCCTTAGACGTGTACTACACCCTCCTGTATATATCTTAATGTTATATACACATCTCACTCTGTATTTCTGGCTTATTCATCATTGCCCTCGTAATACAGGTATACATTACTTCCCGCATAAAGGTGTACTTGTACTCTCCTCCCCCCAACAGGAGGTGTACTACAACTTGCTGTACGCCTTCAGGATCCTGGTGTACTTCAACTCAGCCATCAACCCCGTCCTCTACAACGTCACCTCTTCGAAGTTCCGTGGCGCCTTCTTCAGGTCTGGCTTTGTGTGTACAGTTATGGACAAAATTCCTTGGACACGTGTGGTATTATCTGGCATATACTCGTGGGTCATATATGTAATGTAACAATAGTGATTTATTTTTTTACTGTAAATTATTTCTGGATTACATTATAAAAAAAAATATCTCACGAAGAATAAATCAGAGTAAATAAATATTAAAATCCATGTCTCTTCTTATGTACGTGACCCTTTAGTTACCAGACATCGCCAGAAGTGTCCAGTTAATTCTGTTCGTGACTGTACATACTGAATTTTACTTGATAGTATATTTCTTTATTTCATTGTTTAGCTTCATATTTCTGTTCAAGTTAAGAATAAACCGTCATAAATTTTCTTCTCAACTCTAATTTACTTCACAAATACACCGAAGTCAGGTAAACTATAACAGATTAAGGTGTTTGATAATTAAGACAGTTTGTTCACATGTGTTAATCTTGTATCAGAGGAATAATTTGCTGGTGAGTGAGTGATGGTGTTGGTAGGTTAGGTTAGGATAGTTTGGTTTGGTTAAGTGAGGATGAATTAGGTTAAGTTAGAATAGATGAGGATAAGTTAGGTTAGGGTAGATTAAATTAGGTTAGGCTAGGGCAGGTTAACAGGACCACCATCTCGAGACACCTCTGTTGTCCCATATAACATCCTATTGTTGTGTGTTATATTTTAGTTTCATAGTCTGTTGTGTTCACTGGGCGCTGGTCACCTTGCTATCGACAACTTAGAATTGTTAAGTGATAGTTACGATGCAGATTAAGTTAAATTGAATTTTGTTATCAGCTCACGTCATACAGTGTAGGTCGTGTTGCAGACTAGGTTTGGTTAAACTTTAAAATGTTGTTCACTTATATCATATGTGTTGGGTTTTGTATCAAGCAAAGTTATGCTAAATCAAGTTTTATACTGAGTGCCGTAGTCTTGAATGGTCAGTGGCAGGCTTAGATGTGCTATAAGTTCGTCTCATACCTCAAGTTTATGTTAAGATAATCAATGGCATAAACTCACATCGTAGGTGAATGGTAGGATAGGGTTTACTGTTATAGGTCCACAGAATAACAGACGATGTTTTGCAGGTTGGTGGGTGTGCGTCGCGGGGAGCAGGTGAGGTGGTCGGTGCAGCAGACGGCCACCAACAACAGCACCGTCAGCAACACTACACTCACCAGCAGCCTCAACAAGTCTCTCCCTCCCTGGAAGAGCCAGAGACTCTTAGTCCGTTGTAGTTACACCTGCCTGCGGGGCGAGGGAGAGACATGCCCCCTAGTGGATCGCCGCCCCGTTAGTCCCGCTGTTTGGGGCAACACTAACCACGCCCACCAACCTCCTAGTCCTGCTACCAGCCCCTTTCTGGCCAGATCTTCCTGCACCCGCGACGCCGTCAGGCAGATTGAAAGTTTCGTTTAACCTCAACTCTCCCACGTCCACCCACTGGCAGATATTTTTATCCTGAGCAAGATTAACCACTCACCAGACAGCAGGCCACCTCGAGTTGTATAAGTGATTTATCTCACATCCTCTCTCTCATAACCTTCACTATCTTTACGTCATTCACCTCCCTAACTTAAACTAACCTAAACTAAGCGACTTATTTAATGTAACTAAAATTAACCTGCTGTAAGCTAACCCAGAGACGTCAACGCATGAATCTGATACCAAATTGCTGGCCTCGTGGGTATGTACTGTACCACAACCTCCTGAACACCTTAACAGTCCAGTCGTTCAGAGACGGATTCCACATGTTCAGATTTATACGTTAATATTATTCTGATTATATTATATGTCCTCGAATTCCGAGTTAGGGAAAACTTGATATATAAACATTTGAGAGTCGTAGTTGTGACTGACCAAGACTTACGATGGTTAATGTACCTTGAGACACCTTCATGAGTGTTGTATCGTGTCAGCGTCCTGCTCATGGAGGTTGTAATAATGGATGTTGTCTTGCTCGTATATCACCTTTAATACTGAGTCTTATCCTGCCCACTTCCTGCTCATGAGGAACTTGTAACACTGTACATGGGTCGTATTGTACCAAGTGTGAGACCTATTAAAAATGTATTGTCTTACTGGTGACGTGATGTGAGGGATTTGTATTATGCGGGTCATGTCCTGCCCGCGACTTGCTCACAGTGGGGAGATGGTCCTCAAATATAATGTGTTATGCTTCTGTATTTTAATGGTATCGCAAAAACTTTACAGAATAAACATATCTCTTGATGGTGAACAATTACAATAACATTAAAGAATAATACTGTCCATGTTTTAAATAATCCTTAATTGTAATGGTAAGTATAATTATACAGTATCTGTTTATCGTCGATGGTGCTGTATAGGGGCTGGGGACCGGATACTCAAAAGTATTTACAATATTTATAAATATTTATAATATTGTATCTCTTGATGGCGGATATTTTGTTTTGAGTTTCGCTACAGAGGACTTACACCCTCGAAGATCGACTTACAGAGTTAAATGGGAAATCAATCAATCTGAGTACCGTCCTCATTTCTGAGGGTTGGCGACCACAGTCCTCCACTCTAAACGTTTATGGGCTGTTTTCACCAATCCTCCACAATTGTGCAACTTATTAAGGACCCAGTTTGTAATTTAATTCATCCATCCCAGTATCTGCCTTCCCCTGGTCCTCCTACCCACAAATTTGCCCATTAATATTTAGTATATTATCCCCTCATCCCTTATTATATGACCGAAGTATCTCGGCTTTTTGTGTGTGTGTGTTAATTTCAAGCATTTTTCTTGAAGTTTTTGCTATTCTTTACTTTTTTATTTGCAAAAACACCACATTTCAAAGGCCTCTAACCTCTTTATGCTGCACAGCAAATGTTACAAACTCGATTATGCAGCACGTCCGCATAAAGTAGCACTTACGTAGATTTATCTAATAATTACGTAAAAAATATCAGCAAACTATGTAATTGCCAGTTAGTTACTCCCATGGAAATACATCTACATCGTTTGTTTATTTACTTATATTTTATTTGTCTTCCTGAGCGTGACCCGCCCAGTGTACAGCAGCGTGAGAGATGGTACTGTTTACATTCTCTTTTATCTTACGGTTCACATATACTCGCAAATCAACTCCTGCGGTGTAAAACGATTACGTATAACCAGAGAACGAAACAAAGGCCGATTAAAAGTGGCAAAAAGACGTGGGTGTCACAGGTGAGTTATCTTTCATTTTTAGTATAGTTTACCACTGACGGGGAAAGGAAGGCGATGGCTTGTTTGATCTCCCTGTCCTTCATGGGTCCAGTTTTAGTACAAGAGGATACTGAAAACCTATGATGATGTTTGGTGGTGTACACACTGGATAACACCCTTCTCAAATCCGGCTAAGGGATAGGACCCGGGACACATTCGTGAGAGGCAAGCACGCTATTGCAGTGTTGCCCATTGAGGAAGTTTACATCCAGGAGAACTTTGCTGTGTACTCTTCATCATTTTGTGCACATAACTATATTTTCGCATTGGCTCAGGTTTTCAGGAAGAAATGTAAACATGTGTGGGCATGGGTGACTCCAAAGGTTTTATCATTTATAGGAGAACCCTAAAATTTGTCTCCTTATTAAGAGTGGACACAAGAGGATGGGACCATAGATGGCTGCTAACAGCACATAGAACACAAGGAAATTAATTTTAAAGACAATGAATAACAAATAGTCAAATGGGTTCAATAAGCCTCTCAACCCATCAGGGACAGTGTAGGTACAACACAATGTAAACAACCTTTTCTTTGTACGCAAGGAAGCAGCGTGGTTGGCACTGAACATTTAAATCCAGGTACCCTTTCACAGCTGGGTGATCTTTGGGTACCTCGGGTGCGAACTTGTGACCCTATAGGCAAATCCACTCCGACACCGCACACCATAAACTTAAAAAGGTGGAGTACTTAGCCCCACTTTGTTCAATGTTCTTATGAATGCATTATTAAATTTAATACCAGACAACCCCAGCAATATCTCAATCAGCTATGCTGATGATATTCTTATACATACTAAAACTCATCGTGCAATGCAAACCACCCTGAACCATGTATACGCAGTCTGTGAACACCTCGGTCTTAGAAGTGTAGCGGGGTACAGCCCTCACTATGGTGCTAATATTAGAATTGTTAAAACAATGTACCTAGGCTATATAAGATCTCTGATAGATTACCACGCACCAGCCCTGGTCATTCGTGACGGGAAAGGCGTTGACAAGCTCGAGAAAATGCAAAATAAAGCCCTCAGAATTATCCTAGGATGTCCCATGAGCACTAAAGTACTTAATATGAGGAAAGAACTAGGTATACCCAGTGTTAAAGATAGAATAATTGAAGTCAACCTCGTGATCGCCCTGAGGCTTCTGCGTGGTGATCCTGATAACATTGCTTCCTTAAAATTGCTAGAATGTATGAACCATGGGACTACTGAGTCTAAATGGATCCAAACTACAGCTACACATATGAAGATGTTTGGACTAGACCACCTGTACAAAGTTGAGACACAACAGCGCTTCCTGCCACCCTGGCGGACAGTTCCCTTCGATATCACAATACCGACGTATCCGCCTAAAAAATTAATTATACAAAGCATTTATCTCCAACACACTGCCAAATTGAGAGCTCTTGAACACATACACACTCTACAGACTGATGATAATATCACACAGACCATCTACACTGATGGATCTCTTAACACCGCCTGTGGGAGGGCTGGAAGTGCTATTGTTGTCACTCAACCTGACGGTAATATAATTGAGAAAGGAGTTAGAATTAACAACTGGGCATCCACTCTACAAACTGAATTAGTTGCCATACTCACAGCTATTAAATTCATTGAAACCACTGTTACTGACAGTCTCATCATCACTGACTCTCTATCCTCACTACTTGCCCTTGGCACCCTCGACTCAGGTTGTCACGCTCTTGTCTCTGAAGCCAGACACAAATATGCGTGCCTTGTTGACCGGGGTGTCAAGGTCAAACTGTTGTGGATCCCCTCTCACATAGGCCTCATAAAACATGACAGAGTTGATGCCCTCGCCAAACTCGCGTCTAACAAAGACACCGTTGAATACAATTTGGGTATGTCAAAAAGAACCCTTAAAACTGTAATTAGGAAAGAACTTATTGATGAGTTTGACGCAAGTAGACAAGTGCAAACAGGCACTAGTCGATCCATAGGTTACCATGATGAGATGTATCAAGTGAAACATGAATATGGAGCAAGTAACAAGATCACTAGATTACAAGATGTTGTAACCGCTAGATTAAGGTTAGGATATAAGTACCTTTGGCAGTATGTTCCTCAAGCAGATGTAAACAAAACTAAATGTAAAGTGTGTGGCCATACATATGGCCACACACTTGAACACTACGTCCTCGACTGTGTGAAGATAGAACCTTTTAGGGACAGGTCCAAGCACACTGTGTGTGAAATGGCACAACACTTCATCTCTAATGGCAAGATAGCCGACATATTAAGATTGTATCCACTTTTTTGCACTTAGTAACTATATCAATTCTCATGTACAGAACCAAATACGCAATGTGCTTGAATACCTCTCAGGCAAATGTGAATAACAAAGTGTGAGGCCAGACATACTGCCTCACACGCCTGTACTCACGCAGTTGTGAATAAGTTACCCTTTATGTATAGAACTAAACAAATAATGTAAATGAAATACTGTGTAACATTCAGTGCCATAATATCCTGACAACGGGGGTTAATTATTATGACCCAAGGTAAACTCTACTCTGTAATCCTTTTGCGCTACCGCTCACAGGATGAGTGTGGGGTGCACAATAAAGTAGCCGCTGTAAGCGGCAAAAATAAAAAAATCATAAACTTAAAAGCAGAAAAAATAAGGTTACTTAAAAGTTCAAACTCAGACACGAAAAATATAATACATATTCCGAAATGAATAATTAATGCTCAGAAGCTATATTTACTTTGTATTTATTTTTATTATCAATAAAATCTTGAACTGGCTCATACACTGGGACTCGGAGAGGGAGATAAATGGGCTCTAACAGGGATATCAAATGAGAAAGCAGGGAAATTATAATTATGGAGAGCAACAGAGACCTGAGATACGCAGATAGTTTGCCGCTTCTGTAAGACAACGGAAAGTAATATTAATAACTCCCCGGCCAGCAAGTGCCACACTAATTGGTCATCCATAATACCGAATACTCAAGTTATCTTGAATTCTTGTTGATGAAATTTTTTATTAGTATGTTTCTTTGATTTATTTTTATTAATAAATTCAAAAATTTGTTTGAAGTTTTCGTTTTAGCGTGTTCATGTACTTATCAGTAAAGTTTCTTGGTTATCATGGGGGTGCATCGGTTGTTTACATCTGTGTATAAGTACATGGAAGGTGTGACTTATAGCAACTAGAGAGTTTGTTAAGATTTGAATCCTTTATAATAATTTAAATCCTATGTCAAAGCTGCCAGGCGGTAAGGTAGTGTATTCATGTGTTTATTAAACTGCTGATGTGACACTTGAAAATGTGAAAATTGTAGGATGTTCCGTGTTTAGTTTATTCGCGGAGATTTCTGATTAAATTGGAACTTTCCCCAGGTATGGTCGCTGCTTTGTTGTCTACCTGTGGTTAATTAGTGTAGTTATGAAGATAATACAATAACACAAAGTGGTAAAAGGGGTCAGAAGAACTCTTGGGGTCAGGGGGTGTTGAAGTACACTGAAAAATAATTAAGAAATGTTGTTACATGTACTGTATATGTAGTTTATTTACGTGTGACTTCACCACACATGGTGGCTGTAGAAGGCATCTGATGTATATTTGCAGTGAAGAGTTAATTAACTTTAGGCAGTGGATATTTTGCCATTACCGGCTTAGTTCTTACTAACGCTACCTTACCATGAGTGTGCAGTGATTGGCTTATCAAATCAAAACGACAATGCACAGAACCTATTAGAACATTAACTAACCTCACCTCACCTACCTAACTTCACCCAACTTCCCAACCTGAGCATTTTCGTTTCTATTTTCCTTCTGTCATCCAAACAACATCTCTAGAAAAAATTAATGCAGTGGATATTTTGCTGTTTTGGTCGTCGGTAATGGATAATTCGCCAATCAGAGCGCACTCACTATAAAATAGCGTTAGTAGGAACTTGGCCGGTAACGGCAAAATATCCACTGCGTTAACTTAATGGATCGAGGAAGGTGATGGGAAATTTGGCCGAGTAGTGGTTAAAGAGAGAAGCCTGTGTTTATTAAAAGGAATTTAATAATGAAATTTTGCCAGAATCTTATTGCTACAGCTTTTAGTGAAAGACAATCAATGCAAATAAAATATATACATCTACTGTATATCCTAAAATATCAATTTTGGTCGTTATTGACGACTGACCTGCTGCCAATTTTCAGAGAAACCGAATTGAAAAATGCTGCAGTTTCACTTTTTTAGGTAAAATTATTGTTTTGGTCATGCACCGATTTGGAAGTAGGTCAGAATTGTTTAAAACACTTCAAAAACCATCGGAAAAACATAATTTCAACCAAGCCTGGAAGTTTTTTACTTGTTGCCACTATACGAAATCAAAGTTGAAACTGTTTTTCCGATGGTTTTTTGTGTGTTATGAATGAATTTGACCTTCATTTCTGGCACAAATCAATAGTTTCTGAGATAATCCCCCCCTCCCACCCATCCCAGAATCTAGAGATTTGCTATAAAAATCTAGGCAATAAGTGATCGAAACACATCAAAAATATTTGGAAAAAGATTAGAATCAAACGTAACCAACCTAACCAAACCTGGGGCTCCACAGTTGTTCGATGTTCTGGGTGTACCGCCACTAAACGTACATAATAAAATGTTAAATATCTCTTAAATGTAATTTGCGCCAGAAATGCCATTGCAGTAAGGTGTCTTAGAATTGTCAAATTTACTGATTACTACTATAAAATTCAAGAGATTCGTTTATTGGCATCAAGTGAAATATTACCCAAGCTTAAACTTAAAATCCTAAAATTCGCTGTATGACCGAAACGATAATGATAACGTATTTTATAGTGAACACTGTCGTAGTGTTTGCAAATGTGTGAAAAAGTGGTTATTTTTAAATTAAACCTAATCTAACCTAAGTTGATAAGAAAAACAAGCAGGAGAAGCATTGTTAGGAGACGTCATCAACCTAACCAAAAAAAACTTACTGAACCTCCTAGCTATTAGGTTTTACCCTCCTGATCCCTGGGCATATTAATAAGAAGGAACATACTATAATGTGATGTAATTTTACTTTTTTTTGAGGACGTGAGAGCAGTCACACCCAGACAGTGTGGCTCATAAACATACACTGGCGACTGCCGTTGATCAGATGATTGGCTGTGTACCTCTGCATCACCGCCGAGAAAGACAAAGTAGCGTGCCCCTAGTCACCTAAATATCTACCAAAGGAAGCATTTAAAAAAAATCTATATATCAGAACTCATTGATGAAAATATAGCAAGACTATGAACACCAAAACAAATAACGTGTCGGCGAGTTAGTCGTCAATATTAGCCATATACATTATATTATGAATGAAGCCTGTGGTAACTACAGTATTAGGACGATTGGTATCACAAACCTCTAAAATATCATGAAACTGTATTGAAGAAAAGTTGTAGGTTAAACAATTGATAAGTTTGCCATTTTGTGATCCTTATGCTAAGCAACTGAAAGTTTCTCAGCAAACTTTATCTGTGAACAGTTAATAACAAAATAACAACCTAATATAATGTAAAAAAACAACTTCCATGCAAGAATAGCTTGGTTAGGTAAGGCAAGGCAAGGTTAGGTTTGGTAGGTTGGTTGGTTGGTTTATCTTATTTACAGTAATTCATCAACTGTTGGTTGCTAGTAATGATGAGATCCTATTAGGGTATGAAATGCCATCCAGGAAAAAATCACCACACTAATAGTACTGTATAGAAGTTCAGAAGTTCCTGGCAGTTTTTCACATGTGGAATGGAAGCTTTAACCTCTATGAAAAGTTGGTCTTTTAGTGCTCACATAAACAACTGATATTGGCAACTGCTTTGAGGTGGTTCGTTAACATAGGTACATGTTCAGGACAAAAAAAAACAATTTAAAAGTTTTATACAGGGTATTCCTCCAACTTTTTTTTTTATATTCTAGAAGTAAGAAACTTTTTTTTCTTGCGAACTTTTTCCTTATATGGCTCCTTCTAACAGGTTGCTGTTGTTAACTATTACGATAAAATCTTGATTGAAGAATTAACTGCCAAACTAAACAAAATAAACCACGTTAACTTATATAACTCAAAAGTATTCTAAGATTGTTAGGTTTGGTTGGTTGACTAAAGGGCTTAACATTGCAGTGTGGCACCCAATCTAACCTCCACATTAAGCATTAGGCTGTTTATTCTAATCATTTGGTGAAGTAAGCTGAGGACCTACTGTTAATGAGATTGTATAATTGGGTACAATAACATAGTACAGTATATGCAAAAAGTAATACAGAATATGGAAAAAATTCTTAAAAATTATTTATTACTACACTTTAATAATGTAATCGTTAGATACTGTAGTTTTGGTGTACAGCTGTATTGATTTATTTTAGTGTAGTTACCTCAGTTGGTACTCAAAGATATCATATGGAAGATAGAAAAGAGGCCCCCTCGACGTGATTGAAAGTTTTTGAACATTCACTAAATTTGACACATGAAAAATTCAATTCAGTGTTTACCAGACTTGTGTGCGTGGTGGGTGTTAGCATTGTGTCATATGCAACTGTGTCAATATAATGGAAAGAGATAGTTATATTAACATGTACAGTACATGTTTGAAACTTACTACCGGTATATACTTGAATGTGAATAAGAAAGAGAGAAAATACTATGAGGTAGATACATACAGTATGTATAATGTAAACTCTTGTATGAGATATAAGGATATGAGCGAAAAATAACCTAATACCGTACGTACAGTATGTTTGAATATTAATACATTACGTATAAAGAAAAAAATTTAAAATTAATTTTCCCATGTATGGAACACAGCTGATAAACATATCAACATGTATGTACTGTACCTCAAAATGTATACAGTATTGTATAGGGTACAAGTACATGTGATTGAATATACAGTATTGTAGTATTGTATCTTGCAACAATATGCATCTGGAAGTACTGTAGTATCTGGAATTTGTAAACTTTGCTGAAACCTTTCATGTTGTGCTGAGGGTAGCCACTTAATTCCATCTTTCATATACAGTATACTGTACCTGTAGGCTTTGCTTGGTACTGATCTGGGGTAACTTTGAGATAAATTTCTAAGATTTAACATTCAGAAAAGGAGATCCTTTCCTATCTTCAAATATGACTGCCTGATCTGTTATATTCCTGGTTCATCTTTAATCACCAATTGTTTCTCCTCTTTTAAGTCGACCCTTTTTTCTATGGATCATGTGAATTTTTGGCTGTATTAAAGAAGGATGAGGTATGTCATATGGATATACAGTACAGTACGTAGCCTGTAAACCATAATAATAATGGTTCCTATCAGCTTATCATGTACAGTATTTTGTTTTAGTTACAGCCATCCAGTCACAACTCTACACAACGATGTCCTCCTCTGTCTTTAAAGAATTCCAAGAAGATAGTGAGTATATAAAGGCTATTCAGTTTTTCTTATATTTATTTTACCTTATTTAAAGTTTTTGTAGAGTACAGAAAGCATTCATTTTTACTGTGCAGTACTGTGTACAAGTATATCCAATTTGTCTACAGTATTTATATCATATGCTGTATGGTATATACAGTACTGTAATCAATTATCTTCTGTACTATGGATAACAAATTATATTATTTTATCCTTTTACTGAAAGTATATGAATAAGTTCACCAAAAATACTTTGTTTGCTCGAAACAAATTCGATAAATGTTTATTTTCAGACACTTACGCCCCATTTCTGGCGGATGACTTTGATGTCCAAAGTCATGCCAGTCAGCTGGTCCAAGGCGTTATTATTGCAGAACAGCTTAACAAACTTACTTTAGGTATGTGTGTTTGAAGGATGATATGATAAAGTTGTATACTGTATTCAAATGATTTCCAAGCTCTTTCTAATATATGTTGTGATACAGAAATAGTGAGTTGCGTGTTTAAACTACAACAATGAAATAAAGTGAATTTTTTCATCAGTCTCACTTGAATGGTTTTCAAAAATAGTTTTGTATTATTGTATTTTCATTAATATTTTTCTTGCACATTTTTGAGGGCTGGAAGAAACATTGAATAATTTTGTCAGTGAACACCCTGTAGTAACTGAAAACTGTGAAACATAAATTCAAGTAACGGTATCTGTATATGTTCTCTAATTTGACCAAAAAGTAGCATCTCGCCTCTGATTAGTTGTAGGGCCCATCATTAACTCGCCTGTCGAACACATTTTTGAACGTGGTATAACAGTAAATCACTTTTCATTTTTATTGGAAAACTTGCACCTAACAACAAAGATATACTTAACCAAATATTTGTCCATCTTCAATAGGAATCAATCGACTGGAGCGGGAGATAGAAAGCCAGGTTGGGAGTCACTATGAGGACCTGTTGTCTCAAGCCACAGGGGTGGAGACCCTTGAAGATGTACTTAATACCATGCATACCAGAATCCAGGTAAAACTAATACCTTTTACAACTATTGTACATACAGTACTGTACTGTACTGTAGTTCTGATACACATTAGTTCTGTTATGCTTATAGAAATGTGTTAAAGCTGTGTGTTGATATAACTTTTGAGTGAAATTATATTTTTATTGTAATATTTGCCATTCCATGTTATGTTGGTTACATGAAAATTTCAGAAATAATTTTCCCTTGTGTAAAGAATTAAAATTTGGCATAATTATCAATCATTACTTTTTCTTAATTCGACTCAAATTGCATTATAAACAAGTAAGGCTATGGGTATCATATCGGTCTCCAGTGATTAGTTTCAAATGCTGTCTGTACTCCTCAGTTAACAAGCTGGCTTAAAAACCATTATAAAAATTAGTACTGTATAGTATTTTTTAGTGGCTTGATTATAAAGGGAAACAGCATGAAAGACTCTTTATTGATATCTATCTTGTACAGAACTAGAGTATGGACTGATGTTGTGTTTGTCTTTTTCTCATGGATGAAGTCTTCTAAAGGATAATGTAACAATATCATTTCTACCTATGAATTTATGTTTAATATTTGCTATTACAGTATATGTTAGTGAACTTCTTAAGAGTTAGTACTGTACACTATTTTAGTGTTGCTTGAGCTGCTCTTTTCATTCTTATCAAATTTTAGATCAATTTATTGCTTTCTAAAAGGAAGTCAATATTGATTAAACATTTTCCTACAGGTTTTCAATCTGAGTGTTCATTAAATTTATTCTTCTTTTTAAAAACATAGACACTTTTGGCTGGAGTGGAGAGGCTGAGAGTAAGAGTGGTTGATCCATACCAGAGGGTGGAGAGACACACATTGGTTTTGGGGAGACTTCAGGCCACGTGTGAACTTCTCAGACGTGTCATTCGTTGTCTAATGTTATCGCAGAGATTACAACAACAACTGTCAAGTGAACCAAGAGATATCACCAAGGCTGCCATTAGTCTCAGTGAGCTAGGTTGGTTTATGAAAGTTTGTCTTCTGACAATCATAGTTTATATTTATCTAAATGGAAACATGTAATTGAGGATAATAAAATGTGCATTAATGATCTTAGGCTTTGTACTAAAGATGTTAAGATGATTAAATATTCAGCTTACAAAATACTGTAGTGTGAGATAATAACAGTGATGCTGGAAATAGAATTTCTGTAATTTTTTAATGCAATCAAAAGTTTTACAGATACACTACACTAAGCTAACTCTTACAGTACAGTAAATCTCAATGTTCCTGGTGAGCACCATGGATGGATTCCATAGACATGGAAGTTATGGAAAAACTAGTCTGAATATGTAGATCAAGGATAACATCTCGGCTCTCAAGTGTAGGGTATTAATAAACTAAGCTGATTTTAATTTTTTAATTTTTGGTATTCATCAGATTGTTTTGAGAATACGAACACTCTGTCTTAGTATTCAAATACAAGTGCAAATACTATACTTAGATTTGTTATGGCAATTTACATGAATATGAATACGGTACTTTAACTTGAAATGCTGTACAGTATTTGGATGCATTTGAATACAAATACAGTATCCCATCCCTGGTATTTACAGTGAAAATTGTTGTGTTATTCCTGTTATATGGACATTTCCTGGTTTGATTACAGATCATTTGGGACGTGATGTGGACTTAACAGGGCTGGAAGTGCTAGAACGAGACCAAAGGCTGGTACGGCAGGCACGCTCGGACGTTGAGAAACAAGCAGTTGTGATGATGGACCGTGGCATGGAGCTTCAGAATCAGACACAGGTGAGTTTTCTTGGTTCTTATACTGTGTACTTTGTGAAATTAAATTTCCATACTTCCTGTTTTCCTTATCATTTAGGGTAGCAAATGCAGAGCTTGTAATTATAAATGTACAGCATGCCCCTAAAATTCGCGGGGGGGTTAGGTTTTCAGAGTGGCTGCAAATAGCCAAATCCGCGAATAACATTTGCTGACTAAGGGGGGAGGGGGGTACATTTTTACTTGTGTAAAAAGAAATGTATATTCCCTTTATGTGTTAGCCCTTAGGGCAATTATTTCTTTTACCTGTACTGTATATGTGTGTGTGTGTCTACACACACATACACACACACACACACACACACACACATATACAATACACGTAAAAGAAATTACTGTCTCTAGAATGAATGGCTCCCTGTCCCAGCCGCAAAAATGCCAGCAAATTTAAAACTACCCTTAGACATTCTTGGGTACATCCAGGGTGTTATCAGCGAATAATCGAGGTCCGCGAATTGTCAGGGCATGCTGTATTATACCTTCTGTTCAAGCTGAATGCGATGTCAGCAAATGCTACCTAGGTATGTTAATTCCTACCCAATTCGCCAGGCCAACATACAGGCAATTAAAACATCTAATAATTACTTAATAAGTAATATTAGGAGGACACGTCGCTACCTGGCATTTAATTGCAATTCTCAAACCCCCTCGTTCACTTCCAACTATGCGCATCAAGAACCTCATCTCTTGCCTGGTGATTCAGCTATAATACACACAAAGGGTTTCTTCATCTCTTACTTGCAGGATTAAAAAAAAAATTACCAACAAGAACTACAGTGACTCTTCAACTAACATCAGCTATTTTTCCCATTATTTATTCAATTCTTGAAATATTTAAATGCCATTCTTGTAATATTTAAATGCCATTCTTGTAATATTTAAATGCCATTCTTGTAATATTTAAATGCCATTTAAATGTATTTTGTGGTTAGAATCATACTTTTGAACTTTTAAAACATCACTTTCTAATTTCATGACAAAAAGTGTTTTGGTAAAAAAATATTGCCTGACAAAATACTTTTAAGAATTTTGATATGTAATGTTGTCCTCAAGTTGGCTGATCTGAAAGGGTAATACTTGTATCATGAAGGATTATTTTGGTTCTTCAGGTTGGAACAGCTCTACAAGTCTTCCATAATTTAGGGATCCTGGTGCCAAGTGTAGAAAAGGTGTTGGATTCCCTCATTGCTAGACTGAACAGGAGTGTCTCATTAACACTCGATGTGAACGCCCTCATGCAGATAAGTCAGGATACTAGAAAAAGTAAACACACACTTCTTAGTGTAATACTGTACTGTGTATTGGTGAATAAATTGCAAATTCTTCACATGAGGAAATTAATGTTGTTTTTGAATGGTTATACACTTACTGAATAATTTATTTATTTATTTTATTTGTTTAAGAAACTTTATTACTGCGAGGCTTTATTATGCAGGTGGTCCTGGGAAAGCCATCATGCCTGGACCAGGTCAGTCAGTACAGTTCCGAGCTTCTCTCTGGTCTAATCTGGAGAAGTTGATGGATGACATTTATCATGCCTGTGTCCAAACATCACACCTACATAAGGTAAGAATTATTGTGGAGATTACAGGCCAGTCTATGATCTTCAATCTTTATTAATCAGGATAAAAAAGCAAAATTTTCTTAAAATTTATGGTGATTCAACAACTGTTTTTAATCAAGATTTACTCATTACTCATATACCTGTATATAGTTTATTGATATAGTTGTGGAAAGTAATTGTTTTCTCATACTGTAACCTCATCTCTATACAAGAGCCTAAATGATTAAAGCTACAACAAAACAACAACAAAGGTTACCAGGTCAAACTTTTAATAAAAATAAATTGTTTGTACACATCATCTCAACTGAGTTGGTCACTGCCTTAACACAGTGATATTGTTATTTTAATAGCTTTTACTTTCTCATTCTCCATTCACTGAAATACTGTAGTTACACTGAAATTTTTTGTGGATATATTTCATGGCTCTGAACTGTACTGTAGTTTCAATAAAATTTGGTTCATGATGTCTTGGGTGAATATACTGTATATTGATTTTTTTCAATTGCCACGAACTTTCATAGCCATTGGAACACAATCAGTATAGTCTTACTGTTCACTCTAATGCAGTGATAGATTGTTCTGTTCTCTTCTTCACCCATTCTCTTCATCAGTTGATGGCAGTAGTCTGGTAAAGGATTTTCTTTTGTTTTTTATTTGGATTTTATTCTTCCTGATCACACAACCCATTTTCTAGGAACCATCTCTGTTGGATGTCTTATTGATTCTTCAGTGTTTCTGGTAGCTTTTATTGCAGTTTTTCAGGTTGTAGGTTTCCTTCCTTCAGTTTGAGAAAGCTTAATGTTCCATGGACAGATATTGATTAGGTAGTGCTTGTAGGTACTGTCTCATATTTGTCTTTATTATATTGTTTGGGCTTGTAGTTTAATGCTGAATGCCTCATCTTTCTATTATAAGTGCTTCTGTGTACTTTTACTTTTATGGCATATTTGTTGTGCTATGTCTAATACTGTACAGTACTTGTAATTGGGTATTTTTTTATTTTTTTTATATTTTTTTTGCCTCTTAATTAATTCAACAGGTCAAATAGATACAGTATTCCCTTGAACATGTAGAGCTCTACCAGGGCCTGGTCTGTCAGGGGGATTACACTGCTCACTTGCCTCTTCCCTGTGACCTTTCAATTTGTTTCCTTTTGTTCAAGGTTTTAGCAAAGAAGAGGGACCCTGTTACCCATGTGTGTTTTCTAGAAGAAGTACAATGTCATAGTAACAGTGATCTGTTTACTAAAGTTTGGCGAAATATTACTCGAATCCTAACAGAGGAATTTGCCAAAGCTGCACAAGGTAAGTATCAGCCTTAAAGCTGTGTTCTATTGCTAGTAATCACAAAATAATGTTTTTTTTGCAGAATTAGTTAATACATGGAAGATGGTTAGAAAATGTCACTCTACTGTATATGAGGTTATGTGGGCCATAACTTTGTAAGCGTCACCCTGGTCACAAACACGTTTTTTAACCTATTGTCTTCCTGTACCTATTGCCTCTTGATTCCGAGGCCAAGGCAGCATGAAGCAATAGTTTGTGGGGTTGAAAATCCCATTTCTGTAAAGAGATTGTCAGCCATAAGTTTGCGGTTCTTGCATGGGGTGTGCTCTCGCTCCTCTCCCCTGCCTGATGAGTCGCTCCAATGGTAGCGCGCGGTGAATGGCATCTAGAAACTCCATGGCCACATAATCCTCTGTGTGTGTGTGTGTAGATTATTTTGCATGCAATAATCTTTGTTTATATTACCATATCTTTATTTCCAACATGTACTTAAATTTTTTGCAGTTAAGGTGAATTATTATGGTAATCAGTGTAATCTCTTGGACATTTTCAGCACTGATTATGATTAGTTATGATGTACATGAGTATCCGATATCAAAATATTCAAATTTCATAAAATCTAATGCCTCCAAATTTCTAGGGTTATGATCATTTTTATGATTACTACAATCTTGATGAGGTTGTTATTATCTGATAATGGCAACATAATCCTGAATACGTAAACTTCGGTTTGTAACAAGAATGATAGTGCTATCACACTTAATTCAAGAGGTATAGTCAGGTCCATTTTACAAAACTCTAACCACGTTTTCTTGTGTTTTGGCTCTTATGAAGTTATGGTCCACATAGCCTCATATACGGTAATTTTTTTTTTTTTTTAAGGATTTTTCATGCATAGGGTATTGATACATTTCCCCAATTAATATTTTCAATTTTCCATGTACAGTATTTCTTGATCCTCCTCTTGCACCCTGTCTTTAGACTTTGTCTCTGTCTTATTTACTTACAATATTTTAGTTTATTTTACATATCGTCTCTTGTGTACTAGCTTAGACCATCCCAATACTCTTAGCATTTACACTGTTATGTAGTCCCAATTATACTTACTTGTAGTGTTGCGTGAGGATATACAAGTATTCTCTAATGGGGTCAGTGTTTGAGCAGAATCTGAGCATCAAAAGTAATACGAGTAGAAACTCATGAGATTATTTAAAAGAATGCACATGGTTAAGTATGAGTTACCATGTAGCACTGTGCAGTACTGTTATTTGTAAAAGCAAGGATATTAAATGCTGAAAAGTACCTGCACCATCTTGCAGGTAAAAAAGTATAAGGGTGCGAGTGGGCCAAATACTTAAGGTCAGTGAAACAAAAAGAAATAGAAAATATAGAAATTTGAAAGTTGCCACATGAGTTACAAAAAGATGCTCTTGTAGTGGGATTGTAAGGAAAGTGAACCCGATAAAGTATGTGAAGGAAGAAGGAATGTATATGTATTAATCTTTTTGACATTCCTTAGTCATCTTGTAGCTGCTGTATTTATGGACATCTTTCAGCACACCTCCAGCTTTTACTACCAGGAAGTGTGAGACCTCTGAAAGTTGTAGGTCAGCTTTAAAATGGGAGGAATTTCTTACTTATGAATCTTTAGAATTTTTTTTTTTTACCTTTTTTTGTGTCATTATTGAAAGTGTTGAAAGGATGCTATTTTTCCCACACCAGACTCTACATTCATTCGTCAGTACCTAGAAGTAGACTACCCCAAGCTTATACGTCTGTATGGAGACCTTTGGCGGAGGTTGGAGGGCATTAGTATGGAGATGAGGAATGTTAATGCGGACATGTCTGCATCTGTGTTGGATAGTGATGTCCAAGATAAAGAGGAAGAAGATAAGAAAGATAGAGAGACACAAGAATTTGAGTAAGTGTTATGCCTATTCTCAGGCTAACTATTATCTCAATGTTGCCAGCGGTGTGATGATAATCTGATGACAACGCTGAGATTATAGTTTGATGGCAACACTTGTTATGCTCTGTGCTTTCATAATTTGTTTTGTTATTCACTTGTTTGCTTTACTTCCTGTTTTGAGATATTGGTCAAGCATGTGTGTGTGTGTACTGTTAACTGAAATTTATCCTGGTGTTTCCTTCAGTCCGGAGCAAGCCTTGAGATGTACTCTTGTGCCCCTCGAGGAAGCATATTTGTCTCGTTCTCGCTCACGACTGTTAGATCCTGTCAACCTAATGTTTGCTGCCCAGGATGCACCACCTGCTAAGGATGAAGTCGATGCTCTCATTAAAACAATTACAAGGTATACGCTAAGATTTACATATAGTCTTTCAAAATTATTAATTCTCCTGGCCTTAAATATCTACAGTTTATCACAGACATTGTCACCGAATTATGAAAGAGTTTTACCTTCTTTTGGAGAATATGCACTGGGAAAAATTTTTATGTAAAATATTTTCTCATGTATGATATAAAATTTTGTGTGAATAGGCAATAGGGGTGTTATCAATATAGGTTCCAACCTAACGCTTATAACTTGTCCTTAGTGAATTGAATGTATCTGCCGTTGATAAATCTTTGAGTAAGACTGTGGCCCGAAATGTGGCAGAATCACTCCAGCTGTTCTGTGTCAAGTGCCGACAGCTTGTTGTCACGAGTGGGGAGGCCAGCCAAGTTATCGGTAAGTTCTCTCACACCCTCAACTTTTTTCTTGAAGATGATTTATGCTTTATACACAGTGATTAAAATAATACCAATTGCACACTTATAGTTTCTCCTATAAAGAATTACATAACCTATTTTTAAACCTCTGCTTGAGTAGTTTTAGACAATATTGACACTAACAGTTTCCCCTCAGTTAAACACACATCCTGCTCACACCCTCAAGGAATAGCATCATTGTAGTCATCCTCAGCAGCTTCACACAGCTCGTTCATGAACCTCTTTACATCCCTGGCCAACAGTGAAATTAATTAATGAACCCATCTGCACCTCTGTCCTTCTACTGAGCGAGAAATTTAACTACAGTACAGGGGCCCCCCCAAATTTGCGGGGTTTAGGTTCTCAAAATGGCCGCGAATCACCAAATCCGCGAATAACACTTACAGACCGGGTGGGGGGTTACATTTTTCCTTGTGTACAAAGAAATGTATATTCCTTTTATGTGTTTACCCTTAGGACAATTATTTCTTTTACCTGTAGTATTGTTATATATGTGTGTGTGTGTGTACCACACACACACATTAAAAAAATTTATTAAAAATGTGACAGTTTACCCTCAGGTCCGTGCTCTCTTAATGAAGTAATAAAGCACGAACTTGTGGGTAGACTGTTACATTTTTAATAAATTTGTTTCTGATTATTTGTGAGGGGATTTTCCAATTATCATTTATTTGTATGTGTTTTGTGTGTGTGTTTACACACACACACATAATTACAATATAGGTAAAGGAAATTACTGTCTCTAGAACGAATGGCTTCCTGTCCCAGCCGCAAAAATGACGGCAACTTTAAAACTACCCACAGACATTCTTGGGTATATCCAAGGTGTCATCAGCAAATAACCGAGAACCGCGAAGTAAAATCCTCGAACCTGGGGGGCCCCCTGTACTTTATTTAAATCCCAAATCTTTCCAAACAGCTAGTCAGTGGAGCTACCCCTACCTGTGTGCTCTGAAGAAAAGGCTAATCCTCTTGATCTTTACAAATCTTCCAAAGTTTTGCTCATCATTGTTTTCTTCTTGTAATTATTGCTTTGTTTATATTTTATACTCTGTATGTTCTCATGCTTTCTACCTAAATTTCAGCTAGGGTTTCAACATATGGGAATGATTTTTCTATGTGTTTTCAATGACTATATAAAATGCTTAATTGTTCTTTATGAAAGGCTTTGCCTATTTACTAATACAGTATAGAAGTCTGCCTTTGTCCTTAAGTTACATACAGTATATCTCAGTTGAAAGATCATCTGAAGTTAGCCCTCAAGATATTTATAAACTGCGATGAAGTTTTCTTATTGGTAATTTTGAATTAAGAAGATTTACTTGTTTTCACCTCTAGAATATTAAATTTATGTTAATGCTGCTGTCAGAGATCTTATTATTTGTTATTTTTTAGAGGTAAATTATTGAAATTATTGTCATCATTGTGGGCAGTTCAGTAGTCATGTATTAGAGTGTACTGTATATGAGATATTGTAACTGGAAACTTTGCCAGACTGTGTGTCACTGAAATATACATCTTGCCTTGAAGCTCCCATACCCATTCTCAAAAGAGACATGACAAACTCAATCGGTTCTTTACCACCTTTATGGCATGTCTTTGCAGGTTCCCCCACACCTGCACAAGTATTGAATGCAGCAGTGGTTAACCAGCTTTTATATGTGAGGAGTCAAGTGGAACGCACTGCATCAGCCACACTCGCTCATCTGCCACAGCCAGTAACCAGTATGCTATTACAGGTGGGTTAGCTCTTCTCATATTGTAAACATTTTGTTACAGGAGTTTGATATACTTAAGGTAGGAACTATTGTGTGCTATAAATTTTACATCACAAGTTAGGGTTTAGAATGACAAATGGAAGGACTTGATGTATATGAAGGTAAAGTTTGAGTGACAGCATTTTTAATTAGGTATCCTTTTGCTGAACGATTAAACCTGTTGACACTGGTGTGCTCTGTGCTCTGTCATGGGTTGATTAAACCTGTTGACACTGGCAGGCTCTGTCATGAGGTGTCAAGTGTGCCGGTATCTTACTGAATCCTCATCTGTCTTTTGTCATTAAGTGGATTTCATGCTCCAGTAATTCATCTTCCACAGGCTTTACCATCCATTGATTCGTTGATGTCCTCTGCGGTTCAGCCACTTGTCGATTCCATCACAGATGCTATAGAGGCAATTATCCTCACCATGCACAGTGAAGACTTCTCAGGGTAGGTGCATCGTTCTTGTTACCACATCCATGTGTATTTTTAGGTCACTCATTACTTCTCTATACTGTACTGAACGAATTCTCTATATACTGCACCCTTCCTCAAATACAGTACTGTACAGTATTCAAATATAATACTGTACTGTAATAATATTAGAATAAAAATTTGAATAATAGTAATAATGATAGACTTTACCTTACCCTCTCGCTTACAGGAAATCTTGGTTCAATGGTATTTGTTGCAAGCCAGTCGGACACCCACATGTATCACTGAAAAGAAAATTCCTACTCTAATACTATGCCTGCAACAATTAAACAACACTCACCACATCATTAAGAACAAGCCTGGTCATCATTAAATGTCCCCTTTGAGGCTAAGTGGACTATTGAAGGTGGAGTGGAGATGTCACTCTGACTCCCACACAGCTTCTGGGAAGTCTCATGCCACTTCCCTTCAGTTACAAAAATAGAGCAAAAGCACTCGTCACAAAAACAGAGCGAACAATGATAATGTAAAAACAATGGTGGAGGCCGACATTGCTCACATTATGTTCACAATAACAGAGATAAAGCAATTTACAGTCATAAAAAACATAGCCCAAAATAACTTCACAGTAACCGAAACAGTAAAATTTGAACATTATTGATGTCCTCTCACTGTAAGGTAAAAAAACACACTGATGATAAGTAACAACACCGATACTGACTGATATAATCATTGAGCTACATGATCACGGCCATGTGTGATCAACATGGAACAAAGCTTGGGACTGTAGTGCACCGGGTGGCCACATGCGAGTGGACTGCAGCTTTCAAGTGCACCAAGAGATACGTTCCAGATTCCACGTTGGCCAGATGATGACCATCGTTCGTGCACTTTTTTTTATCGTAAATAGGAGGGTGATGTTAATACATCACCATCGTTAGAGCAAAATATTGTAGATAGGGAGATCGTAATATTGGGGGATACCTATACCTGCAACATTTATCTTTAAATCTACAAATACCTGATACAAATAAAAATTTATAGATACAGTAATTTTCCTTTCACATTTGCATTGGTTAACATTGCAACTATGCAAATAATGATTGTGTTAAACATTCATTTAGCTCTTCCTTAATGGTTTTAGCTGCATTTTTTCACATAGGTAGGTGGCATGGTTTATGAATGCCGGGAAATTAGGTATGGGTCCTGGGAGTTGTGAATTTGTTTCACCCATTTGACTTATTGTGTAGGCTGTTACATTATATGATACATTTTTACTTGTGTACAAAGAAATGTATACAGTGGTCCCTCGGTTAACCAGCACAATCCGTTCTAGAAGGTTGCTCGTTAACCGAAAAATTCGTTAACCGAAACCATTGTTTCAATGGGTTTTTGGGTAATTGGTTCCAGCTCACCGAAAATTGCCTAAATTCAACAAAAAAGGGAGAAAAGTACACTTACTTTGAGGTGTGTATGTAGAAGGCTCCTGGATGATGATGATGGGAATTAGAATGGGGTTGGAGAAGGGAGAAGAGAAGGCATTGGGGTGGAAGAGAAGTCGCCCCATGGCGCCATTTCACCCATAAAATTTTAGTTCTCTTGGTGCAATTCAAGATTATTTTCTTTAAATCAACACTGCACTGCATTATATATTGTCAATATGTAAAATAAATTTCAAAATGACCAATAATTTGCTTGCAAAAACAGAAAAAAGCATTTAATTGAAGAGAGTCTCAAGCAAGATGTTACCTCCACTGAAAAGATACAAAGACTGACGCCTGTATGGTGTGTTGAGAGGCTGGATGGCACGCATAAAACTAGTTTCATTACCTTCAATTATGTTGAATAATTGTTAAATTGAGTACAAAAATTAATATTAAACTTTTAAAATTATTGAATAATATAAACTTCTTGATATTTGCTAAAATGGTAAGGAATTTAAGCCCTAGAACCGATTACTGTATTGGCGGACTAATACTACAGCTGGTGGACCGCCAAATGCAAGCGAAATCATGTTCAGGTTGGCTAGTAAGAAACTCATTAATCGAGGGATTGCTCGTTAACCGAAGTTAAGAATCTTATGGAAGGTAACTCGTTAACCGAAATCTCGTTAACCGAGGCGCTCGTTAACCGAGGGACCACTGTATTCTCTTTATGTGTTTGCCTTTAGAACAAACACAAAACACATAAAAATAAATATTAATGGGAAAATACTCTCACAAATAAATATATATATATATATATATATATATATATATATATATATATATATATATATATATATATATATATATATATATATATATATATATATATATATATATATATATATATATATATATACACACACACACACACACAGATAGACCCCGACTTACGCCGGGGTTAGGGACCCAAATCCAGGTCGTAAGTCCGACATGGTCGTAAGTCCGACATAGAAAAAAAAAATAAATAAAAATAAATAAATAAATAAATAATCTACAATGAAATACAGTTCAGTAAAAGTAATGAATAATGAGCAATTGATACAGTACAGTGAAAGTAATAAATAATAAGGAATGGTTACAGTGTGACTGAGCACTTACCTTTAATGTAGTCAGCTGAATGCACATGGGGCCCCCATAATTTTCTTATTATACATGGAGACTACATTAACTGGAAACGTTTCGGTATAGAAAATGCGTGTGTCATTTGATAAAAAAAAAAAAAAAAAAATTTTTAATAAAAAATCTGAGGCGGTCGTAAGTCCCGACGGTCGTAAGTCGTAGCAGTCGTAAGTCGGGGTCTGTCTGTATATATATATCAAGACACCAGATTCACACCAACGTGTCTTGGCAGTGACCACTACCACAACAGCTGATGCTATGAGCAGTGTTACTAACTCTGAAACTGAATTCCCATCAGTTACCAACTCCTATGAGGAATAAGATAAAATAATTACAGTATAATATAGCAATAAATGTGAGGAATATATAAAAATAATACTAACATATAAAATATAATTAAACCAAAAAATATTGTATTGCCATTTGGCTGCTGGACGATAGTTTTTTTTATTTGTTTTACTACGCAACGGAGAGAGCTCAGAACAGCTCAGATCCCTCACTCCTCCCCCGCTGATTGTAAATTCTTAACTCACGAAGAGAATTTATTCCTTTTTATATTTTTGACCTTATGATAATTATTTACTTATTTACTTACATACAGCTACTCCTCGACTTACGACCTACTCGACTTATGACCACTCGGACATACGACCGCCCCAGTCGTACCAAAATTTTTTCAAATTACGTATTTTCGAGTCCCGACGTTAGTAATTGCTTTGTGTACTGACAAAATTTTCGTTTGTAATTCCATTTAAAATGGCTGGCATGCTTAAAAGTGAGAGTTTTGTGGTGCTGAGAAGAAAAAGAGACACCCATTTTAGATTTTCTATGTATTATCTTCGCATTTTCGACTTACGACCAATTCGACTTAGGACCTGGATTTGGGTCCCTAACCCCGTCGTAAGTCGAGGAGCAGCTGTATTTCTCAAAAGACAGGGTTTAATAATACAAGAGATATATAAAATACTCAGAATTTTTACCAAACAATCTGGAGTCAAACTATGTACAGTATAAGATTGGAGTTAAAAGTATATGAGTATATATGGTATTTGTTTGTCATGGACACTATATTTTCAGAGGTGACACAGGAGGAACTGATTCTCAGTGTTCGCTGTACCTAAAGGAACTCCAGGGATTCATCACCCGGGCAGCAGATGATTATCTGGCCATTTATCAACCATCAAACATCATTAAGGAAAAGTAGGTATTTCTCCATAATAACTACATAAAGCAGCATTTATCCATAAGATAAAAGACTTATTGTTTTTTCAACTGCTCACTTACATGTTCACTCTATCAAAGTTAAGCAAAGAAAAAAGTAGGAGATTGCAGACACTAAAGAAAATAAATTATTACTCATATTTCCTATAAATTTGTGAATTAATGAGTCAGATTTAAGCACAGAACTTCAGTAGTATTTATAATCAATAGATTTTTATTATCATATATGCTTTATGAATATAGCATCACATAACTCAACTGATACAGTGCCAGATGTACTGTATTCAAAATATCTACCAGTATCTATGTATGTTATAATTCTGTCAATATTCTAATGGAATATAATGAAGATTTACAGTTTTTCAAGAATATACAATTCATCTATTGTATCTGGTTCTTTTCTATACACTTGTTTCACATAAACAAAATTATAATATAATGAAAATGCTTCTTACCTTCAAGACATATACGTACTTTAATTTTTTTTAGGATTCATACACTGGCTTGCCGTTGCTTAGACCTATTTGTACGCCATGCAAGTTTACTACGACCCATTGGAGAAGGTGGGAAGTTACGTCTTGCTGCTGACTTTGCTCAGGTAAAATGCATAGTATACAAATATAAATATTGTAGCTACAGTACACGTCATGACCAGAAAAAAAAAACATTCCGGAGTAATATTGTATCCAGAATTATAAATTAATTTTACAATATTTCCATCATGTTTCTGGTTTGCATGCACTGTGTTAGGCCCTTACTCGCAGATTTTGCCTTTAACGTGTCCTTTTTTTTATCCAGTAACACTTATCTTGCCTTCTCTCAGCCTTTTACTAATTTCATTGTCTTCATTCACACATTCTTGTATCTCTGCCATAAACTCTACCCTGTTTACCCAATATATAAATTAGTATATAAGTTTTTCTTTTTACATTTTTAGATGGAACTGGCAATCAGTCCTCTGTGTAGTCGACCCTCAGAGCTTGGCAGGCCATATCGTATTGTGAGATCATTTAGACCGCTGTTGTTCCAAACAGTGCAACACGTCATTGCCTCTCCCAGCATTGGTGATGTTATTCCTTACTCAACAGTTCTCCATTTCCTGTTTGCCAAGGCCCCACCAGAGTTAAGGTCACCTCACCAGGCAAGGCTTTTAAGTTTTTATATGAGATGGATATGTATAGGGTTTCTGATATAGTACATGTATTCAAACATTCAATTCTGTATCGGATTTAAATTTTGTATTAATCTGTATGATATTTACTCAAAGTTAATCAATTCCAGAAATATATTTTGACACTTGTTCAACAGTAAAAAAGGGTTACTTGTGGGGATTATTTTTAAGTTCCAAAGTACCTGGTAATTTTGTTCTTTACACATATTTTTTTTTTAATGTTCAAATACTGTACACAAAACAACCCATTAAACTATTTGTTACAGTGTCATATAAAAGCAAATATAATTTAAGCTCTTTTTCATTTGTAAGGTAGAAATTCCGTATCATATTTTGCACCTTTTATATAATAATCTAAAGAGTGTGTTATCTGAAACAGCCGCTAATAGTTGTTTCGTTTTGGCATGCAGTTTTTGTTAATTTTGTGAAATTTTCTGGTGCAAAGAATTTGGCCTTTAAAAATGAAAGTGGGTATTAAGGGCCTTATATATAAAGAGCTCCGGACCATAACCTGCTAAGAGCCATATGTCACTGAAGCGTGTTATGTTTTGCATTGTATTCCCCAACCTCTCCTCTATCCCCTGGGTAGGTCAGAGAGCTAAATGGGAAACCTGTACATGTGGCTGAGAGTCCTTTGAAAAGACTATTGTATGTCACACATTCCTCCCTGAGCATTTTCCTACATTTTCTATTTTGGCACTTAGCAGATTATGGTCTGGAGCTCCTCATATGCACAGGGAGGCAGTATGGGTCTCACTGTAATTGACCACTTTCACTTTCCCAGCTATAAAGTTAGGTACCCTTTCACAGCAGGGTGAACTAGGGGTGTCCTGGGTATGAATTAGAGACTGAAGGACAAAAGGTGAGCACTGTATCCACCTGGCTTCTATATCCCATAATATGCTCTTTATCTGTACGAAAGTTTTTTCACGAACGGAACCCTTTTATAAATCGGGGAATGCTTGTACAGTACATTACTCTACCCTCATTAATTTGGATCATTATAATGCAGATTCTTGGCTTATTTCGTATGTTTTAAAAATAAAAATAATTAAACAATTTGAAATCAGAATGAAACCGTAATTACCGAATGGTTTCGAAAAGGCGCATGATGAGGGCCTTGAAATTTCAGTCTTGTCAATTCAACTGCGATTTAATAGCTTCCCAAGCAAGCCTGGGTCAGGTGTCATCCCACTTGGACGATTCTCACTTTTAATTGTTAATAATTAAATTCTATTCATTTGTATCCAAATATTTCATGTTATACCTGTATTCGTAATCATGAAAAAGTAAAAGTATTTGTAGATCCTGTCAACACCTAAGTCTGGTTAACAAGCTGACCTGTGGTCAGGTCACTTGATGTCAGGTAACCTCATAATAGCATCAAGGCTAAAACAGGTGGAAATAGTGAGGTCATTTAGTTAGGTCATGAGTTTGGGAAGAAACTATTAGTAATTTTTATAATAAAAGAACATTCCTAATATGATTTGTTGTATTTTGCTATTTGTACTGTAATATAATTTGTATTATATTTCTATATTTCATAATACTGTATATTCCTATAATAAACAGCATTTCTAATAGAATTTGTGATGTTTGGACGATTTGTAGCTATAATCGTCCATGTGGGAATCGTCTTAGTGGCACATAAGCTATCACGAGGCAGCAGGTCAACAGTGCAGGTGGAGGTTATGTGGCGGTCCCACCTCATCAGTTGAGATGCTTAGCGCCTTAAAGCAGGTTTTTTAGGAGATTTGTGGGATAATGTTGTTAATTGTTTCAATGAAAATATAGTTCTGAAAGATTTTGCAAGATTTTGAGTAAGTAAAATGAATGCAACTTGTAATAAAACAGTATGTAAACTATTATTGCATCATGGATGCCTCTATGTCTGACAACTTTCTGTTGTTTACTACCCGTGCGGCATGCATGTTGGACACTAGTGTTCTCCCTGAATATATATATACAGGAAGTTAGTGTTAATTCTAATGTAATGTCGACGAAAAAAAATATTTCTGTTAACATTAAAGCGAAGATTAGAAATTAATTTTCAATTAATATTAAAATAAGAAGGTAGAAATGAAAGCATAATAAGACAATGGTTTAGTAGTATTGTTAATGTGTGTGCTGTGTAAGTGCTTCGTCATCTCACCTCACAATGTATTACATTTATTTATTACTGTATTATTTAGTTTATTATTACTATATGTATATTTAAAAATATTTATGTTTGTGCAGTAATTACAAATACTAGTAACTGTATACCCTGTACCTGTAATACTTTGTGGCATCCAAGGCATGGTAACCAAGTACGTCTGTTGATTCGAATAATGAGGAACAATCTTTGGAAGGTTCCAGAAAAGTTGCAAAAATTGAATAGAAAACAAATGAATAATCAAATGCAAGAATTTGGAAATTGACGAATACTGTGCTAATGTCAAAATATTCCAAACTCGGTTAATTCGGATCATTCGTTAGTTCGAGTGACCCAGAGCCCCTTGTTTGTTGAATTAACAGGGGTATATTGTATTAATTTTGCCCTCTGTTTAGGGGGAAATATGCTGCAACCTGCACATGGTCTTAAGTAGTTAAACAATAAGGTTTGGCAAAGTATAATTAGTATTGTTGGTATAACTCATAACTTTACTAGCTGATTGAACACCAAATTTTTAGGTTTCCTTGTGTGTCAATTATATATGTACAGTATGTATATATAAACTCTTTTCCTCAGACTGCTGGTTGGTCTGTGAGTCGCTACAGTAACTGGTTGGATGAACACCAAGATGAACGGGAGCGACTGCAGCTCGTTAGAGGTGCCCTGGAAGCTTATGTTGCCAGTGTCAGATCTCGTCACCTCACTCAGTTTGCCTCTGTGTATCCATCTATGCTCAAACTCTTGGAAAAAGGAATGGCTGCTTATGGAATAACAGCCAATACTTAGAGTTAATAAGAATTTATCTAGGTATTACATTTTCTTGGGAATTGTGTTGTGGTAAAATTCCCGGTCTTAAATTTTGGCATCAAACCAGTGACTACTAGTTATATCAATAAGTGAAACGTGTGCATTACCATCTGAACTGGCAGTCATCTCTTTCAGAAGGGTGCCAATCTATACAGTGATCCCTCGGTTAACGAGCGCCTCAGTTAACGAGATTTCGGTTAGCGAATTACCTTCCATAAGATTCTTAACTTCGGTTAACGAGCAATCCCTCGATTAACGAATTTCTTACGAGCACCCCTCAACATGTTTTTGCTTGCATTTGGCAGCCCACCAGCTGTAGTATTAGTCCGCCAATACAGTAATCGGTTCTAGGGCTTAAATTCCTTACTATTTTAGTAAATATCAAGAAGTTTGTACTATTCAATAATTTTAAAAGCTTTATATTATTTTTTTTAGTTATTTTAACAATTATTGAACATAATTGAAGTATAGGAAGCTAGTTTTTTGCATGACAAACAGCCTGTCTAACACACCATACAGGCGTCAGTCTCTGTGTCTTTTCAATGGAGGTAACATCTTGCTTCAGACTCTCTTCAACATAAGTGCTTTTTTTCTGTGTTTCCAAGCAAATTATTGGTCATTTTGAAATTTATTTTACATATTGACAATATATAATGCAGTGCAGTGTTGATTTAAAGAAAATAATCTTTAATTACACCAAGTGAACTAAAATTTTATGGGTGAAATGGCACCATGGGCTGACTTCTCTTCCACCCCAATGCCTTCTCTTCTCCCTACTCCTCCACCCCCATTCTAATTCCCATCATCATCTAGGAGCCTTCGACATACACACCTCAAAGTAAGTGTACTTTACTACCTTTTTTGTTGACTTTAGGCAATTTTCGGTGAGCTGGAACCAATTACCCAAAAACCCATTGAAACAATGGTTTCGGTTAACAAGTTTTTTGCTTAACGAGCAACCTTCTAGAATGAATTGTGCTCGTTAACCGAGGGACCACTGTAATTCGGAAATTGGTTTTGGCAATTGATACTACAAAGAGTCTTTTGGAATTTGTTTATAATGTTGGTTAGAATATATTCCTCCCTGATTGATAGAATATGTCTGATTAATCAGGAGCTTTATGGATTGTTTTTCAATAAAATACATATTTGTTGTAAATTGTATTACTCTGCATATATTTCTGTTTTGTTATGTATATTATGTGTCTGTATGTGTGTGTACAGTATGACATTCAGTTTTATTGTTTACAATGCAGATAACATTGCCTGTATACATGTTAACTATATTTGTTAAAGCACTTGCACAACTTTTTTACAGCAGTAAGAATCAGTGAAGGAAGTCTGTGTACATAGTGGCATCTAGAATAGAAGTGATGAATTGTTTTTACTTGTATCCACACCTGACCTTGTTATTTGTAGATGGATTTTGATGAACCTGGTTGCAAAATGGTTTTGTAGTGTGGTACATAAAACATTTAAATTTTTTTTTTGTTCAGGGCTACAATATATTACTGCAATATTAGTATAATTATATAATAGTTAATAGTGTACTTACAGGCACAGGAGATTGTCCACAGCTTGTCTGTCATGGGGTTGAGGATGTAGTAGCTCTAAGGTTGAGAAAATTGTCGTTGGGACTTGGGTGCCACTTCCTCTCCTCGTTGACGTTTGTGGTACAATATAAGTTCCCACAAGAGACAGGCGGCTGGCCATGTGCAGATTGGCTACAGGAATCATGTGTGCCACCCATAGGCTATGACGTCTCAATCGCATGGCTACACTTCGTCATTTCTTTTCTGACTCACTAATGGAGCTTCCATGTACTGAATTTACAGCAGGAAGAAGAGTCCGTTCAATGAATTGTCCTATACAGGTTGCAACTTGAAGCCCAGGTAAAATGGTTGATGAAATAAAAAAAAATTGAGGAGGTGGCAAGTTCATCACTCCTATTCTAATATTTGCTCTTGATTCTGGCCACTGAAGTGTGACAAGACTCTTTTAAGACTTACTAGGTTGCACCTTATTTTTTCTGAGTTGGGGAAATAATATGAAAACAGTACAGATATGTGATACATTCCCCAGTTGTATGGACCATCTAATCACATACATGTCTAAAGACAGAAGGTCAAGATTCTCCAAAAATTATGGGATACCTTGGACACCCATAAAGTAACAGAGTCATGTGAGATAAATTACTTGCTAGTTTGCTAAATATAAAAAAATCCAATGTTTTACAGATTTAATTATACTTTATGCTTAGCCAATTTATACTACCAACAAAGCATAATATTACAGTATAATCATAACAAATAAATACTGTACTATGTTTTCATTTGAATGCTTACTTTGGGCTCTGTATGGCCTGTGAACACACCACCTATTTTAAAACGTATTTGCTGTCTGTGAAAGAAAGAGGCTATCCTAATAGCAATACAGTACTGTATATATAATTTTTCCAGTACTGGGAGACACCAGTCTAAGAGGAAAGGGTTGCAGTCAAGTAGAGGTCTGTTACCAATATTGTTTTGATGGTTGAAGATTGACGACCGCACTGGGCATGTGATTGAAAGATATCAGTATGCTGTCGTAGGGTGTGATAGTGCCTTAATATGCCACCTATATTTCACCATCTATAGTTTTTCTACCCTTCACCACCTTTCCTCCCACCCTATTTCAGTCTCCTTTTTGTCTCAATCCTGCCTCTCCCTCTCTCTCCTGTTTTCCAGACAAACTTCTCTCCTTCACCCCTGCCCCTCTTCCTGAGACAGGATAATCCCTTACAGACACTACATTCTCGGTTCAATTTATTTGCAGAACTGCCCCCTTGCTTAACACTGGGGTTGAGTTCCCAGAGTGTAGAGGGAACCCATTATAACATGGGGAGATAGGCGATGCGTTAGATGGACCTCAAAAAGTCCTCCCCCTCCCAACATCCAAAACTAAAGTTCAAAGATATCATACAGCCCTAAAGTAGCTCACTAATACACCTACATCTAGCGTCTCCATGAAATTAGTTCCCGAACAACAGTTAAAAAAAGTACTGGACTTTGTTACTTAAGTTACATTGTTACATTGCCAAAATGTTCATCAATTAGAAGTAAAACTATCCAAAGTTCAATGTGAACTATGAACACTGAATTTACTAAAGTGAGGACCTGGGTAATACGTAATAAACTGACCTTAAACCTTGAGAAAACCCACTACACAATCTTTCATAGAAGGAAAAACTTACCCCCAGACTTGGACGCCCTGTACCTTGGCAATATAGTCCTAAAACGCGAACAAAACTCTAAATTATCAGGAGTTATTGTTGTTGAGAAACTTTACTGGAGAAACCACATACAAGCCATTCACAGTAAAGTCAATAAACAGTGCGGTATCATGTATCACATTCGACAGTCACTCACTCTCACAGCAATGAAAGAAATCTATCATGATCTTGTTAACCAACACCTGATATACTGTCCCATACTATGGGGGGCCTCTGGCTCTTCAAAAACACAATTCCTGGTTACTGCACAAAAGAGAGTTGCACGGACAATGACCTACTTGAAAAAAAAAAAATCACCCAAGCGAAAAATTTGCTAAATTGAAAATGTTAAAATTCGAACATATTAACACTTACGGCTCTGCCCTCTTTGTTTACAAATCTATCAATCATTTGCTTGACAATAATTATTCCTAGTTCCAGAATAATCAGAGATACAACTTAAGGCACCCAGAGCTACTAAGACCACCCCCCATGCCCTCCACTCAGTACCAGACCTCCATAAAATATCACGGTGTGATGGTATGGAACATCTTACCCCTACCCATCCGACCAAAGATTACGCTCCTTTCCTTTAAATCATCTCTTAAAAAATGTCTATTGTCTAAATATTAATATTTCTTGTAATACCTACAGTACTATATTTACAGTACCTGCTTTTATTGTACCACCAAAACCGTTTTATCGGAAATTATCATTTAAATAGATAAGAAATTACCATTGCAATAAACATATTTGCCAAGTAGACATAATCCTGACAGTTCTGTCCTCTTGTTCAACCTTAACCTTATATTTATATATATATATATATATATATATAAAGGTCTGGGACTTAGGGATAGAAATCACTTACCAGACTAATCAGGATCTTAATAAAGGAAAGTCAAGGACCATGGTTTTCTGAGGAACAACAAATAATCGTTTGAGATTGACATCTCTTTACTATAAAAAATATAACACAAAACTCTGACACCACTCAACGAACACCAAGTAACAATTACGGGAGTCAAACAATTAATGCAGTAAACAGTTAATGGAGTCAAATAATTAAGGGAAGCAAACAATTAAAGGAAGCAAACAATTAATGGGAGTCAGCAATTAATAGAATCAAACAATTAATGGAATCAAGCAGTTAATGGGAGTCAACAACTGATAGAATCGGACAATAAAAAGAGGGGTCAGCAATTAAAGGAATCAAACAGTAGAATCAAACAATGAACAGATATTTCCTACGACAGTGGCCCTGGGGGAAGGTTCCAAAACACAGTGATCCCCACTCAGGGGAAAGCGTCCGTTCAACCTCACTCGAGCAACAGCGGATGAAACACCAGGGCACAGACGGTGGAGAGGAGCTGGTGGTTGTGGCAGCAGCGGTAGTGGTTGATGTCCAGAGAAATGACAGTCGATAGGTAAAAGTCTGGGAAAACAGCCCACGAGTCCAGGACCTATGATGAGATCACAGCCAGAATTTGATGAACAGCTGGGTAGCTAGAGAGTGACTGTATGGCGGCTGGGGTGAATCTGCCGGTGACACAGGTTGCCGCTGCCGTTCTCACCTCTGCATTGATAAGTGGCAGGGCTGAAGTAAACAATTTGTTGGTTTTGCTTTATTGTAGAAAAATACAGTTTCACAGGTACTGAGTTCAGTTGAGAGTACAGTAGTACCCCGCTTAACGCGGTCAATTGAACCCACAGGGTACCGTGTTAAGTGAAAACCGCGTTAAGTGAACAACAGAACATATGGGATTAATTCCAATAGAGACTGGCCCGACCCCCAAACTCCACTTTTTGACAACACACAACTATGTTGTAGTAAAAATTTTATCTTAACTTTATGATGGTATGCACAAACAAGTATATAGAAGAGGTTAGGTTAGGAAAAATAAAGGTTAAGTTAGGAAAAATAAAGGTTAGGTTAGGAAAACTAAAAGTTATGTTGAACACTTACGTTAGTAGAAGAGATGGGTCGGCATACGGGGATGGAGGCTGGTTCCG